AATATTGCAAAATGAACACAACTGTAACACTCATTTACCATGGCTTCTAGAGGGGGAGGGGGAAAAGCCAGGACAACTAAAATAAACATTTCGTGTCAGCCAAGGAGGATTATACTATGATTGTATGTGTCGGATTATTCTTACTCAAGTGTCACACACACACACACACACACACACACACACACACACACACACACACACGCGCGCGCGCGCGCGCGCGCGCACACACACACACACACACAAACAAACAAACACACATGACACACACACATACTTGTCAAATTTGTGTGCACCCCAGATGAGGAAAGACAAGCAAACAAAATATATGTCAAACTAATTTTCCACGAGTGTCAAATAAGGAGAATCATATTACAAAGACCTAACCTGATAATGCCTGATTAATTTACCCTGCCTGTCAACTAAGAAGAGACATCATATTGCGCTTTTATGTAAACAAAACGCCATTAACTCAACAGTCATATAAAGAAGGGGAAAAGTAAAGTTTTACGGCACTTACAACACAATAAGGTCATACAAGTGCCAAAGATTAGAGGCGTTACAATAGAGTGAAAAAAATGGTAAGAGTTTAACGCCCCTATCAACACTATTACGTTATTTAAGAGGCAGGACCTCCTAATTTAACGTCTGTCTCCGATAGGACCGGCAATAGAGTAACAAACATAAAAAAGGAGGAGAGATCAGGAACATAGATGTTTGATAGGAAAGAAGGAACAAACCACACCAGAGCACCCGCCAACCACCCATTTGGTCATACACGCATATCTGCTGCGCACAACAGCAAAAAGTGTAACTGCCACACCCCTTTCATCAGTATGGAGGACCAACAACAATGTCATCTATTGTTCAAGGAACAAGAGCACCTCGCCCGTTAACCACTCAGAGGCAGAGAGCAAAGAGAAGTACTTCAACACAATAACAGTTAGTTATATCATCATCATTATCATCCAGTGCCAGATCTGCGACAGACATCGGCGATCATGGTTTTCCATTCATTCCTTTGCCCGGATGCTCTAAAAAAAGCTACGTTTCCATGATCTTTCCCTGTTAGTTATATAGTGCTGATAAAATGTTTTAGTTTGAGCAAGAGTTTTACATCATACGCAACACAGTTACGTCATATAAGCGCCCGAGATTAGTGGTGTTACAAGAGAAAAGCAAACATAAAAAGAGAGGAGCTCGCAAGGACCATAAATGTTCGAAAGGGAGGAAGGTGCCCCACAGAGAAGAGATGATGATGATGATGATTATGATATATTTCATGCACAGAGAGAGAGAGAGAGAAAAAAAAGGGAGAGAGAGATACAGAGACAGAGAGACAGAAAGACAGAAAGACAGACAGACAGACAGACAGACAGAGAGAGAGAGAGATCAACCAATAAGCACCACCTCCACAGAGAAGGGAAGGTGATGAAATTTTCCGCACACACACACACACAGAAACAGGGAGAGAGAGAGACCGAGAGAGAGAGAGAGAGAGAG